GGTCTCGAACCCGCAGGCTCAGGCAATCCACTCACCTCAGCCTCCCAAAGGCACGGGATTACAGGCTGAGCCACCGAGCCCGGCCAGTTTCTACTTCTTGTCCAGGATTTCAGCAGCCACCAAAGGGAAAGAAGATGTTCATATCAAAATCACCGCAGGCGCAAGAGCATGGCAACTCAACTAGTTTCTAATCATTTGATCTACTTCTGCAATGTTTTCCAAATCACCATTAACATTTACAGAACAAATGAATATTAACCATCAACATCCATAGCTGATACTAATTGCCCTCCCCAAATGATAAATTCAATTAGCTTCTGTTTGCACACTTGCCAGGTCCCCAAAAAGTTAAAATTTGTTTCTATTTTTATTGAAAACCCATTTTTAAGCACACTTGCTTAAATGATGGCCTAGTTAATCATTCTGGGAAGCTAAATATCTTTTGTTAGAAGATGAAGATGCTAGCCGAGCTCAGTGGCTCAGCCTGTAATTCCACGCCTTGGGAGGCTGAGGTGAGTGAATTGCCTAAGCCTGCAGGTTCGAGACCCTCCTGGGCAACTTGGTAAGACCTCATCTCTACAATAAATCAAAAAATTAGCCCGGCGTGGTAGCACACACCTTAGTTTCAGCTATTTGGAAGGCTGAGGCGGAAGGATCACCGGAGCCCAGCAGGTCGAGGCTGCAGTGGCCGGGAGCAGCCACTGCACTCCAGTCTGGGCGACAGAGTGAGACTCCAACTCAAAAAAAAAAAGATGAAGATGCTACCTGATTTATTCTTGTTGAGTCCAGATTTTGATATATGTGCTTAAAGCTACCCAGTTCATTAGTGAGAATAAGAAAAACTGGCCAAGTATGGTGGCTCATGTCTATAATTCCAGTACTTTGGGAGGCTGAGGTAAGAGCATTTGAGACCAGCCTGGGCAACTTGGCAAGATCTTATCTGTACAATAAATAAAAAAATTAGCCAGGCGTGGTAGCACATGCCTGTAGTTCCAGCTACTTGGAAGGTGGAGGTGGAAGGATCGCCTGAGCCCAGTGGGTCAAGGCTGCAGTGGCCCTGACCATGCCACTGCACTCCAGCCTGGATGACAGAATGAGACTCCAACTCAAAAAAAAAAAGAAAGAAAAATTAAGGTAGGCTCACAACAGCAAAAATTACTTGAACTTTCAAAATGCAATTTTGACAAAAGTGCTTGGCATATGTTATCTCAGAACAATCCCATGAGGAAGGTAGAGCAGCTATTACTCCTGTTTTCCAAATGATGAAATTGAAGCTCAGAGGTTAAATGACTGCCTCCAGCTTCAAGAGCAACAAGAGTCGGTTAACAGAAGAGACTAGAAACCAGGTCCTCTGGCTCATCTTCACCATCATGTTCCTCTCCATCACTGTGCTACCCCAAGGCACATAAATTCTAAGGGCAGTCACCAGAATCAATGAATGAGTTAATGAATGAACATGCAAATGAACAAAAATTAAGACACGATAGGAGGTCCCATCCCATCGTGATTGAGTAAAGAATATCAAAAACTTCCCAGGATTTTGCAAGGAATGTTTATGGGGTGAAAATCAGAAATTAAAGAGGGCTGTAGGAAACCAGATCAGTTCATGTCATATACTCTTCAGAGAGTTGCTGGCCTTTACAAACTGGAACAGAGGTGCAGCAGCACATAAGTGACCAGCGTCACGTGGAACTTCATAGGACACTGCACACACCTATTCCATCCTCTAACCCCATACTATCTCCAGAGGCACATTCACTCTGTCAGCAGGCCTATGCTGAGAACTGGCCTGGACAGAGTCTCATACACAGGTGCATGGAAACACTGCCCTTCCCTCAAAAAGTTTATATTCCAGTCTGCAAGACCAGATGCACCGACAATTTAATCATGTCAAGCAGTGGATATCTTTGTCATATCTTGTAAAGTGAACATAAACACATCCTCAGCACAGAGCCCAGCACCAGTGAAGCAGTCAATAGCTACTCATTGGTTTCACCTGAAGACTCACAGAAAAAGAAACCAACAAACAAGAGTCAGAAAGTGGTCTTACATAGAAACAGAAGTCACTTTAGAGACTGAAGTCTAAGCCATCCTTTGAAGGAGACAAGAGAATCAGGTGGAACGGGATGAGGGGGAGGTTGGTGCCCAGAGGCAAGGTAAAAACGTGTCAAGGAGAAAAGTAAGCAGATTAGCCTGACTCAGACAACAGCTCCTGCCATCCACCCAGGCAGTGTTTGAGAGCCAGGCTAGGGAAGAAGGTTGATAAAGATAGAAAACAGCAGCAACTCTTCCCTGGGTACATGGCCCCCAGTGTGGTGGCTCATGTCTATAATTCCAGAGCTGCTAGTCTCTCGAGCTGGGTGTTCTCAAAGTTGACTGACCCTGACACCGACGGACTCTAATGCCTACAGCCCAGGACAAGACACTGGAGCTGGGAGACCTGGACCCCCATTCTTCTTGCCACACATCCCTACCTTAGAGGAAAGCTCCCACTTCTGAATGGTTGAGAGTTACACACACACTATACTCCCCTTTCCTGCAACCACAAATCTGATGGCTTCCCAGGTAGCTGTCTTTGAGGACAAACCCAGTTCTCCAACTTGACAATGTAAAACCTTGATGGCCATTTATGATTAACTGAGGATTTTGAAATTGTGTACCCTTCAAGAAAAAAGAAAGAAACTAAAAAGGGGGCATTCAACAGAGAGGTGAGAGGTGAGAGGAAACTCAGGCAGCCGGAGTGGGCCTGAGACAGCCTGAGAGTTCTAAACTTTGTTTGCACAAGGAGGGCTAAGTCAATCCTGTTACCAAAGACAGAACCAGAGATGATCAGGAGTCACTGTACAGGAAGAGTTTGCTGAGGGATGCCATCAGCTCAGCAAGGTCACTAAACTCCTAAACTCGGAATGAAGTCTCTCTGACATCTAGCATGCCCTGGGCCAAATCTGGTGTCCACTCACAAAATAAAAACGTACTATTATTGTGATGAAGAAAAAATAAAGCTAAGAGGGTAAATGTTTGTGAAATAAAATTTTACTGATGCAAAGAAAAAGTGAGAAAAATGCCCGGGCCTGATGTCCTCCTCCATTAACACAAACAACTGATAGGTAGTTGACTCTGTCAAATGCCTTTGGGTTTCCAAAAATGAATGCTTGATCTATGTTGGAAAAAAACACTGTTTTCACTTTCCAAGTTCAAAGAGCTTCCATAGGGTGTACACATCAATAACAAATCTGTTGCATCAACTAAGAAGAAAAATGCCTGCCTTACAGGCCATTATGGGCACTGGATAAGTTCTGTGAGTGTTCCCTATAAACTGTAGAGCATTCTCCAGATCATTTTCAGTAAATGCCTGGGGATGGTGGGGTATTCATTTTTTTCCCTTTGTTTCTGGCTCTCTGGTCTTGTGACTTCTAGGACTCTCCATACCTACCCAAACTGGGAGAAAAAGGTACAAGGGCAATCTCACAGGGCTAAATCACAACAGACGCAAAAGACAAGGTTGAAGAATTCACCGGGGTTCACATGTATCAACCCCATATGGCCACTAGGGGGAGCCCCATCACAGTTTACAATTGTCTCTTCTATGAAAACAAGGGTATCTACTGCGAGGATCAGGACAAAGCCAAAGGGGTCTTCTCTTCCCTGATGGTAAGGGGAAGACACTTACCTTAACTTCCTCTACACCTTGCAGCCTCAGTGTGGAGAGCAGGAGGAGAGAACAAAGCCATGACAGGAGCAGCGACCGGAACTGGGCCACACAGAAGGAGATGACGGTGTGGAGGAAAACCATGGCCACACCTGGGGTCCCCAGCACACACCAGCAGGCCCACATTCCATAGACCATGAGAATCCAGGGTCTGTGCTGCAGACAGCAAGGCGTTCGTCCAGAGAGGCACAGAGGGAGAGAGAGGGAGAGGAAAAGAGAAAGAGGTGAGTTCAAGGGCATTGCTATTAAAGGTTCTACATATAAGAGGATAATATTCAGTAACTTAATAACCAAACTCTATTTCCACTGCCCTGAGAACTTGGTACAACATAAGCAAGTTTCAGAGGGACTTTCCACATTAACTCCCAGAATTCTATCAGATCTATCCAGAAGCAAGTAGGCACTTTCCTTACTTTGACCAAAGCCAATCAGAGCCCCAGGTCTTGTAACAATATGATATTAAGCTTACCTTTCAGCAGACACTATGGAAGTCAGAATACAGTTGGAAAAGCTGCCAACCTAGAACACCACACCCTGCATACACTATCCTTCAGAAGTGAAGGTGAAAGAAAGTATCAGAACACATTTCTAGGGAGTCTTTTTGAGGAAATTGGGCCATCCAAACCACAAACAGCTATCTAAAGACTAAGCCAGAGACTTAAAATTTAATATATAATTACATTTTTATTTTTAAGAATATTATTTACTGTCAAATTTATGCCATTAAAACAAAGTGTATCTTATTTGCCTTATGGAATATTAAAGCCACTGCATAGGCTATCTGAATGATACATTTATTTCCATTTGAGAAGAATCAGAGATTATGTTTCTATTTAATTATCGAGTGATTTATAATTATTACATTGAATAAATAGACAAATTAATATTTCTTTGCTTTTATGAAATCTGGTTGGTAAATCCTTATTTTAAAACTGCAATAATGTTTTAACATTGAGACAAAGATATCATCATGGTTTAATGACTCAAGCTTTGAAGTACAACTACTTAAGTTCAAATGCTGGTGTCCCCATTAACTTTTTGTGACATTAGGCAAGTTACTTAACCTCTCTGTGCCTTAGTTTCTTCACATATAAAATTAGAAAAATAACAATATCTACTTTATGAAGTTGTGAGGAATAAATAATGTGTTAATGTTAGAACAGCATCTGCATACATAGTAAATGAAAGGACATAACGTGAAGTCAATATACCCAATGAGCAGTCATTTTAACTTGCCTAAATTGGTCATGTTTCTCTATCAGTTCACTTTAATTTACCCTCTAATCACTAGCCAAGGACAGAACTGGTTTCTCAGAGGTAGCTATTGATAATTGTTTTACAACCCTCTCCCCAGCTTGGTTTGTACTAATTAGGTTTTCTATTTCAAATATTTGCCTCCACCCATAAGACCCAAGTTAACCTAATCAGCCCTTTGTGACCTTCATGACACAGACAGATTCCATCACCATGGCAGCAATCATCTGCCTGCTGTCCATCACCTGACATCAGTACCTGCACTTACCTGCCCTCTGTGATGATGTGAAGCAGACCACCACCCAATCACCTTAATGACCTCCCCCCATCGAAGGGAAAGTTTTAAAGGATTCAACCCGAAGCAGCCATTTGCCATTGCTTTGGTAGACTCTGTTGTATCCACGTAGCTCTTTGAGCTGTGTCCGCCATGTTTCTTAGCTTTGGCCCTCTCCCCTACCTTGGGAAGGTGAATCCCCTCTCTCTCCTCTAATTTGCTTTCTAAATAAACTATATTTTCCAATCTAACTTCTGTGCAGTTCTTTGCATCCTTCTTACGGCACCAGATCACAGACACATCCCCATCGAGCCTCACCTAACATTTGGAGGCCCCACTGAGATATATTTTAACTTAACATTTTTGGAGGCTCCAGTGAGATTTCTAACCTAACAGTAAGGACACTGGCTACAAACACTGGCTATTATTCCTGTATGGAAATATGATGTCTCACAGTATGGATTTTAAAATGTGGTTCCCCAGAAAATACCAAATTGAAAAGTGGGAACTGCCTCAATTTAGGTCTTCTTGTGGAAACAAAAAGACTTCTTTCAGGAAAAGACACATGTGGAGTATAAATGTAAATCCCATTCTTAGATGTTAACTCTTTCAAAATATTACCTAAGTATTATTCTCCCCCAAACCTGTACTCCAGCCCAAGAGAGAACATTTTATATGTGAGACTAGGTCAGCCATCTTTAAGTTCCAAGAAAACCAGAGAAATGTGAAGTTCATTTTTACTATTTTTCCATCCTACTATCCACAGAAAACAGCCACATAAATTTGCTTCAAATACTCACCCCTGAGTAGCGTCCAATTATAAGGAACTCAGTCTCCAAAGACTATTTTAAGAGGTAGTTTTAACAAGCAAAAAAAAGGAAGTTCATTTCCAACATGACCTACAGCATTTACCATTCAAATTCTTTTTCATGCATGTGTGGCTACCTCCACAGACAGAGTTACATTTTATTAAGTGCTATTTGATCCATTTGGAAAAAGTCTGTTTGCTGGGATTCATTTGGGAACTTAACACAGACTGAAGCTGTTTCAACCTGGAAAAGGCTGAAAGAACCTTCAGGAAATACTTGACAGTGCTTTGCAAACCCCATCTACTTGAGAGATTCTATAATGAATTTAACAGTGGTCTCAAAAGCCACCTTGGGCAGACAAATTTGTCCCACATTTTCATCTCCTTGTTTCCCTCCTGCCAAACAGTACAGGCAGACAACATTTAATACTGTTCTCTCTAGGACGTCCCAGAAAATGCTCTCACATGAGCCTCATGCTCCACACCAACATTAATGTTACCCACTTGTTATCCCCAACAAGTACAGGCAAGTCTACCAAATATACATTCATGGCAGATAGGTGAAAAAAAAGGAAAACATGGATAATGCAGAAAGACTCGCCTATACAAAACTGTTGTATAAATTAGAATCCCACTAAAATGCTGATTTTTATTTTTCATCTATACAACTTCCAACCGCAGCCAGGCTCGGTGGCTCAGCCTGCAATCCCGCACCTTTGGGAGGCTGAGGTGAGTGGATTGCCTGAGTCCGCAGGTTCGAGACCCACCTGGGCAGGTGAGACCTCATCTCTACAATAAATTACAAAATTAGCCAGGCATGGTAGCGCACGCCTGTAATTCTGGCTACTCAGAAGGCTGAGGTGGAAGGATGGCTGGAGCCCAGCAGGTCGAGGCTGCAGTGGCCGGGAGCTGCCACTGCACTCCAGTCTGGGCAACAGAGTGAGACTCCAACTCAAAAAAAAAAAAAAGTTGTATTCACATGTAGTTATAAGAAACAATACAGAAAGATTCCTTATATACTTTATACAGCTTCTTCCAAAGGTAACATGTTTTAAAACTACAAAATCACAACTATTATACTGATATCGCTACAATTCACCAAACTTATTTTGATTTCCAGTTTCAGGTGTGGTTGTATATGTGTGTGTTTATAGTTCTATACAATCTTATCACATGTACAGATTCAATATTCACCACAGTAAAGACACAGAACAATTCCATCCCACAAGGATCCCACGTGTTGCCATTTTATACATCTACCTCCTTCTCACTCCACTTTCTGACCCCCCATTCCTAGCCCATGACAACCAGTAATCTCTTCTCCATTTCTAAGATTTTGTCATTTCAATAATCCTACAGTGTTCTACCTTTGGGACTGATTTTTTTTCACTCAGCATAATTCCCTGGAGATTCATTCAGGCTACTACTATGAGTGTCGATGGTTTGCTCCTTTTTGTTGCTGAGTAGTTTCCCACAGTATGGAAGTACCAGCTTGTTCCACCACTTACCTGTTGAAGGGCAACTAGGCTGCTTCCAATCTGGCGTTATTACAAATAAAACAGGCATACATGCATAGATTTTTGTGTAAAATTTAAGTTTTCATTTCTCTGGGATAAGTGCCCAAGAGCACACATGCTAAGCTGCATGGTAGTTGTGAGGCAAGGTAGCTAGCACAGGTTAGAAAAAGATGGATGCATTTCTTGCAGGCGGGTTTTAGGAAGCATTCAGACATTTTTTATGACTTTGTTTTTAACTGCAAGCCAAGCTGGAATGTGAACTTGGCAGCCTACCCATCCCCTTCAACAAATCGAAAGAAAAACTCATCTGATGTCAGAATAGGACAGCCCAACCTGTCAATTCATGGTTTAGCATAATAATCGCTAAAAATCTCTCAAGTTCCCTGTGGAGGGTGGAAGGCCTAATAGCATCCCTTAACTAACCAAAGCCATAGAAATGATAATAAGACCACACTTTAGCTCATGAACCTGTGAATTGGAAAAGTCGGGCAGGTCTCCTGCAAATGACAATGTGTTCTAGAAAAGACCACCACTCCAGAGTGTCCATTACCTGTGTCCCACCCTCTTAGCATATCAATTGTTTCTTAGTTAACAGCAAAAGCACAGTCTTTCTTTTGAGAGAGAGAAAGAGACAGAGAGAGAGACAGAGAGACAAAGACACAGACAAAGACACAGACAGGCAGGCACTTGCTGGTGCCGGGCCCTTCTGATACAAAACTTCTGCCTGTCTTTTCTTTTCTCTCTTCTTCTCACTAATAAACTTTGTTTTAAAATTTTGCTGGCAGCTCTGAAAAATTATTTCAGGGTTTAGTCAAAGGATTCACGAGTTTTGTTCCATACCCTACCTGGCATCAGTTGTACATTTAGTTCTATAATAAACTACTGCCAAACAGTTTTCCCATGTGACTGATCATGCATGTGCCCACCAGTGGTACATGAGTGATCCAATTGAAAGGACAGAGTCCAAGATGGAATTTATCTAGTCTCCTTGAGCTCATACACAGCAATAATCCTTTCCCAATAATCCTTTCCTGGGACCCTAGGCAAGTCACAAGACAGATTTAGGAGAGTAGTATCTTCTAAAGAATTTGTCTTTCAGCTATCAGACCTGTCCCTCTCATCTATGTAACTAACCCACCCATCTGCCTGCTGTCCATCACCATGACATCAGTTCCTGTGCTTACCTGCCCCCTTCAAGATGACAAAACAGACGACCATCCAATCACCTTAACAACCTACCCCCATCAAAGGAAAGTTTAAAAAGCATTCTACCTCAAGCAGCTGCCACCATGCTTTTGCTAAG